GTTTCAATAATCTGAAGGACATTAAACGCTCATATAGGTGCTGGTATTATGCCAACCCGAAGGCTTGGATGAATACCGATACTATGAAAGATGTTATGGCGAGATTGAATGAAAAGTTAAAGAGGAAAAAGCGCAATATTCTGCTGTTGATGGATAATTCTTCCTGTCACCCTCCTAGCATTGCCCATAGCTTTTCAAACATCACTATTAAGTTTCTTCCCAAAAACACAACGTCAAGGACTCAGCCCCTTAACGCTGGCATCATTGCGAATTGGAAGGTCAAGTACAAGAAGAAGCTTCTACGATATGTCTGCTTTAAGGTTGACGGCGTGAAGAATGCCAGCGAAATTGTCAAGTCCATTTAAGTCCCTATTCACCCCCAGAGGTTTATATATATTTCGATTGTTTCCGTAATCAGGATTAATCTCCAAAAATTTTTTGGAGATTAACTATTTGGAGATATGCCGCCTCATAATTTACATATATACACACATTAGTGACCACTTCCCATGGAGGCTTTTCAGGGCCAATTCCCACCCATCCCNATTCACAACACAGTAATCTCGTGCGTGGGAAATTAACGTCTCCTACCCCTAACCCTGTAGGAGACGGGGCCTACGCTTTATTCGTCCTTATCCGAGAAGACTAGAATATCTATCTATTTTTTGGTTATAGAAAGGTAGCAAATTCTCCTCACTTATTTTAAGATCATGAGTATCGGTCCGGCCGGGGCTCGAACCCCCGACCTTCCGCACGACACAATCCGGGGCTCTAACCAAATGAGCTAACCGGGAGGCGGTTAGCTCATTTGTTACTCAAAGTTACTCTTATGGCCACGCCCTTTTTACTTGGCCGGGAGAGAATTACTGTGCCGAGTCTCGGACCTACAACCTCTCCAATATTCAGTGACGTCACAGCAAGAGCGAATGTTAACTTCTTGCATGTGTCTGTTGCTGTAAAATGATGTGAAAATGCCGACTCGTTGCGTGGTCGCTGGGTTTAGATTCGTCTCAAGTACATGTAGTTTCGCGTAGTCAAGTGAATGTAGGCACATCGATCGAAACACGTTCTGGCTGTGACGTCATGAGGGACTTTTTGTTCCAGTATTAACTTTACCCGGCCAAATCAAAAGGGCGTGGCCAAAGGACGAACTTTGAGGCAGCATATCTCGGGGAATATTTAATCAATCAAAAAAAATTTTCTTCTCGAGATTAATCCTGATAATGCAAAGAATGGAAATCTATATAAACCTCTGGGGGCGAATTAGGGACTTAAACATGTCTATGACAATCGAACGGGGAAAGCAGACCTGGAGCGAGGTGTCGTAGGATACGATTGTCAGATGTTTCAAGAAAACAAGGTTGTACCCACAAGAGGTAGAAGAGGATGATGATCCTTTCGAAGGCGAGGATGAGTTACTTGCCTTGCAAGAGCTAATAGACACGGTTGGCTCTTCCTATGATGCTGAAGTGTTCATCTCCGCAGAAGACAGCATAAATGTATGCACAGGAAACATCCACAAAACCAATCCCAACTGGAGGAATGACCTACGGGAGCAAATATTGATGACGAGGATGTTAAGCTATCTGCCTCAGCCGAAAAACAAGACAATAAATGAGGAAGAAGAAGAAGAAGAAGATGAGTTTGACCCAGAGCTCAAACAGCCTGTCATAGACGGTACAAAAGGCAGAGGAAGTGGCTGAACAGCTGAAAGACTTTGCACAGTTTAACGGTCAAGAAGAACGGTCGTTGGCCTTAAGCAAAGTGAGCGATCGATTTGCTCCATGAAATCAAGTTACGCAGCCCTAAATTGTAGACAACAATAACCGATATTTTCACATCAGGTTGAAAGCAAAACTTTATTAATGTGGTTTACAACAAAGGCGATTGCCTTTCAAGCAACACTAATACTGTACTGCAGAAGCGCGAACTTCCTTGAATTACTTGATGTTTTTCTAATATTTTGTGTTTCTGTTGTTGTGAACCGTTACAATATTCTGTGTACATTTTACAGTTCCATTTTTACCATATTTTATACTACATTTTGGGAAACCTCTACTTACCGGTCAGTTGGCTCATTCCCGAGGGTGACCGCTTAATCGAGGTTTGACTGTATTTCTATCGTTTAACAAACAAAGAGCAGCGAACTACACCAAATACACCAAGCTACTTCAACCCGATCCAAACTACACCAGACTACATCAAACTACACTTAACTACATGAGCATCACGCAAATCATTTGCTAGTTATGACCTTAAGGTCTAACTGTTAAATTATAGTAGTCACTTCATCTGATGCCTTGTTTTGTTGTTAACCTGGACACCACTGTCTAAAGACGAATGGGTTGTCTATAGAGAGGGCAAGTGACTGGCCGGCGCAACCTCTTCAGCCACGAGATCCATGCTCCCAGGCAATTTTCAACGTGGAAATAGTTTCTGCAGCACGGGGTCCTAATTAAGGGCGCCCCACGCATCAAGCAAATAGGACATCTTTCTGAAAACCGAACACAGGTAACCCAGGCTCATGGTTTGTGTCACGTACCCATGGTTAAATAGAGAGAACATATGAGGCGAAGTTTAGGTCTGGAAATTTGCTTGAAAATGCAAATAAAAACCAATGAAACTTACCTCACCCGAAGCAGATGCCATGCTGAGCAGGTTATCAAAATCTACAAGTTGTGGCTCAGAAGGCTTCGTGAAGTAGCAGTTGATCGGCAATGTACCTGGGTTGTCTTTGGTACTTTTATTACGTACGGTGACCTAGCGAACACTTTGGCCGAATTCTTCGAGCCACTTTTGCGTTTCCGTCGATTGTCGCCTGGTCACCTTGGAATCTTTCTCTGGTTTGAACATGGTTGGAATTGTAGAGAATGCTAAGAAACCCAGTTGCTTTGAGTAGAATGCAGAGGAACTGGTGAAATAGTTGAAGCTGCATTTGGTATTCCTCTTCAGGTGCTCTCTGAGGGTTGATGACAATCTGTGCGCGAATTGAAGAACTAGAGGCATGTCATTACCATCCCTCAATTCTGTAAACAGGTTTTCAACGACAAGAATAGTTAGCGACGCCATGTCCAGCTTGCTTACGTACTGTGGTGAAATGTTTTCAATCGACCCGACAATGTGTTTCAACGTAGAAAGGGTGACTTCTAAGTCCCGGATAGTTTGCTGTGAGCAAACGCCATCTTGTCACTGAAGGATTCATATTAAATTGGTGATGATTCTAACTTCAGAAATGCAATCTTTGAAGAAACCATTTACCTGCCCAATTACAACAATGGCCTGTTTAGCGGAGAACGTCTTTACATTGGCTCGTGGCTCATTCCTTCTGTGAACACCAAAAACTTTGAGAAATTTAGACAGTACTTACTTCTGTGCAGCGTGACGTTGGTTGCGAAAATGTTGCGTTAGCACCATCAGTCTGACCTCCAGTTCTTGTGCCAGATAGAACCTCAACAGTCAGCACGTCCTCTCCAAGTAACAAACAATTCACTTTCTTGGCACCAACATCGGTAAACACAAGCTTGCTGGTTTTTTTCAGCTGATGACAACACTGCAACTCCGTGCGCCGTTTTGCATACGGCTGTCCCATTGCTTGTAAGACGATTAGGGGGCTCGGCAGGATTCGTAAACTTCTGTTGTTTGTCGTCATAATCGTACGAGATGATACCACCCAAAGAACGATCCGTTGACGATACATAGACATGGTTGTCAATAGCAGCAATTCCGAAAGTCTATTTGGGGCATTCTACCTTGCCAAGAACAGTTGTAGTAATAATAGTAACCCCATTGCTTTGGACCTTCAACTGCAAAATCTCTTGCTCAACTTCGTCGGCTACAAACAAGATCTGTTTTGTGGAATGGTAGTGCTGTCAGCCTCAATGTTTCCTTGTCCTGGATAATGATTGGAGCAGCATTTATAGGACTCTGCCTGTTATTTGCAATGTCAGCGCGGCCCTTAGATCGAATCCACTCGTTCAGTTTTTTGTTACAATTTTTTGCAAATATCCCGTATCCCTGAAACTACTTCTTAATATCCTGTATCCCAATAACTTTTCCCTCAAATATCCCGTATCCCGGTAATTTTTTCCGCGAATATCCCGTATCCCGAAAACTCCTAACAGGACCTCTCTTCTTAATAGTAGAGAGACAAGGTAGGAGGCTGACTGCAACGTCGGGGACCGATCTACCCTCAATCCAGCACATTTTTTTCGCTTAAATCCAATCCAGTCGCCACATAAACACGCCGGGCCCGTATAACAAGATTAACTCTAAACCGTGAATCCTCTAAAGCAGCTCCAGCTTGAAACGCGAACCCAGCAAGCTCCGTAAAACTCGTACGTTGACCCACTACTGAGAATGGCGGCCCGAATCTGTTAGGATCACAACTGGTTGAATTCAAACTGGCACTGAGCTCGGGGCACCTGGTGACGAGACCCGTGGAGTGAGGGGAGTCCCAAATTGCTCAAAGGTAACCCTTACCGTCCGACTTCACCCTCGGGAATATTGGCCAGAATCCATTCTTTCCCAACAGCTAATCACACACCGAGATGGATTCACGGAACAAAATGAGAAAGGACTTTGGTATTAGGCGATATGTAGAAATGAAGGGCATCAGTAAGCTAATTATATTAATTGGTATACAAAAGTGATTTTGGTGGCAACATTTGTTAACTTTCCACTAGATATCTACCATATTTTAAATGACAGCAGTTTAAACAACTGTCACAATAAGCTACTTGAAAACGATGCTTTTCCAGTTTACGATTTAATGCCAGCGAACGAATATTATAAAAGTATGTCGTAGTAAGTAACATGAAAAATCGCCGATACTTAATTTCCGGGATATTTGTAACCGGAATTTATGGGCTACGGGATACTTGGTCAAAAAACTACAGGGATACGCGATATTAAGACCCCCCCCCCGGAAAAGGGGCCTCAGAAGAGTATTTTTCCCGAAACTTCGTGTACATATATTAAGGACAACAACAAATCACCACATGGTAAGTTTCATTGCTTTTTATTTGCATTTTCAAGCAAATTTCCAGACCTAAACTTCGCCCCGTATGTTCTTTCTCTCTTTATCCATGGGTACGTGACACAAACTGTGACGGTGGGTCACCTGTGAACCGAACGGAAAATTTGCGAATCAATCAACAAGTAGGAAAGAAAAATAATTCATTTTTTTTCAATCTTTGAGCTAATGATCACAACATTCGTTCAACGTGCATCCTGGTTCATTTTTTTTCTTTACTCTTTTGCAGTGCTCTGGTCATTTTCATGAAGTTTCAGTGAAGTTCAAAAAGGGTACTTATTCTACGCGCTGAAGAACTTATGTTTCCGTAGTTCCACGCTCCCGAAGTGGAAATAGTTTGTCATGAAAGAGGAGGTGTAAAACTGCTACTCACGCATCAAAAGAAAACATTTCGTCGCTGGAAATCAGAAGACTGTGGGACTGCGAGAGCAGCTTCTAAAAATGAAAATTCAGTGGTTTTGAAATCTTGCCAAGGGTTGGAAGAACTGTAGATTACTTACCAATTCTTCTTCCTGCTTCTATAAGCATTTGCCGGGCAACTTGCCTATTCCTTCCCATCACCTCACGCCTCTCCTCCCTTCCCATTCCTGCCGCCTGACGCCTCCTCTCTCTTTCCCGCCTTCCCCTTCCTGGCCTTTCCTCCTCTCTCGCCATCTGAAAGGCAAAACCCGATAACGTTTTCCTACAACGGTCTTTCTCAGGCCTACACTAACCCAGACGATCCCACTACACTTTCACAACATTACAAATGTTTATGTAATGCTCAGTCAGGATAAATAACTGAATGGGGACTGGGTTCCAATGACACGACAAACAAGATAGCGGCCAAAAGGAAATGATTCATTTTAATATCGTGTTTTCCGAAGAAGACAGGGCTCGCAATTGCGCTTGTATTGGGCGCATTTACGAATATAGATTTCGCTTTTGCGACTAAAATTTCTCCACTAGTAGCGATTTTGCGACCGTTTTACAGCCTAACTAATCAATAAATTATATTTAACAGCCTTGTGTCTTACTTAATACTGGTTGCTGTAGTTTTGTCCGAAAAATTCTATGAAATTCAAGCCAAATGTTGTATTGCGTGACTTTTATCGTCAATTTCTTCCTGAGAAACGTGGGCGCACTTTTTCAGGAAATACGTCGTGCAACGCTCATGAAATTTCTTTCGCAATTACATACATTTTCTGGGAGAGAGGGGAGGNTGATTAAAATTATAGAGTGGAAGCAATATGACCTCAACAAACTACTAAATAGTACAAAATAGTGCGGATGAAACCAAAACATTATAGTATTTAGTATTACTAAAGTTTCAAAGTTATTGTTTGAACATTGTTGTAGCTATATACAAACATGTTTGTGTAATTCCATAAAGGAATTGTATTCTAGAAGATGTGTAAATAAACTTGACTACCATAGCTTATAACCTGTGAGAAAATTGAATGGGAACATTTTGGACTGGTACAAAATGCAAACATAATTGATGAAATGAAATCTATGTACTCAAAGGCTTTTTCATATTACATATTGCTGCACAAATGATGATTATGTCATCCAAATGGGAAAGAATGCTAATGGGAATTTCTTGCTTTAACATAGCAAAGTCTTTAATTCGCTTGATAGCCTGCTCGACATAAATCCGTACATTAGCAATAAGTGATGTGTTCCTAACATCAGCACCTGACATCTGGAGATTGGAATGCTTGGAGGGTGGAATTGTTAGAGAACATTGGTAGTATGCTAACAGGTCATGAATCTTGAATCCCCTGTCTGCCATAACTTGGTCATGTGGCTGAAGATAGTTTAAGAAACCACTGTTTTCTACAATAAAAACATCAGATGACCTCCCACTGAAGGTCTCAGAGACAAATGATATGTGGCCATTTGGTGTTATCCCTATCAAAAACTTTAACGTGTAGTGTTGTTTGTAATTTGACCAACACATTGCCGCATTCTCTAAGCTTGATGGGGTTTCAGAGAATAGTTCTGTGCAGTCAATGATGACTCTACACTTTCTGTAATATCGTCGAAACATATCAGGCATATTTCTTTGAATTAAATACCTATCTGGCCAGGAAATCATCCACTTTAATTCTTTAGACATCAGCTTAACCCAAGTGGTAAAGACAGAGCTGACAGTCGCCTCGGAAACTTTGAACCTTAAAGCCAGATCAAATACAAAGAGTCCTAGCTTGATTCGCATCATGGTTAGCAAAAACTCTTGCTCCAAGGTTAGAGCTCTCTGTACATTATTTGACCTGGGCTTGGTGGTGTCCTTCAAAGCACTTTCTTTGTCTCCTTTCCAGTAGTGCATACACATGGCTTTTTCAAAGAGTGTATTAAACATCAATTGAAATGTTTCTACGTTAGGGAATCCAGTGAAACGCTGGACATCTTGCTCTGTTGTTAAATCAGCAAACTTCATACTTCCGTATGTTAGCGGATTTATTATCAAGCATTGAGTTCCTTCTTCTTTGAAGCTTGAGTTATTGGATGCCTCAGCAGTAGAGACAACTTCGTGTCTTGCCACAAGCTTTCTTTTCTTGGGTGAAGGTTTGTTAGAGTCACTTGGCACCATATACAAAGTTGGAGTTGGTGAGGAGTACGTTGGCTTTCCATATTGAAAGTGATTCGAACAAACAGTCTTGTAGTTGCCGGGTTCGAATCCAACAAGTCCTTTGGATATGCTGGCAATCCATTGGGCTCTTTTCTTTGGATCCTTCGGAATAAAATGCCAGCGAAGATTTTCGACATGTGACCGTTTCACTATCTTTTTTGGATATCTTGAGTCGTTGTTACAACCTCCAACACAACATCGGTAGTTAACCATTATATATCTTATTTTTTGACGCATTAAAATCGAAAATACAGAGCTCAAAATGTAGCTGTGACTTTTATCTTGAACTGTCAATACTAAAAATTGCGACCAGTTCTGAAACAAAGCCGATATTCATTAAGTATTCAGATCAAGCAAAAGAGTGTAGCTGAGCGTGTCCGCCATTTTGGATTTGCTTGCCCTAATTACCCAGCATGCACTCAAGAGCGTGAACCGGTCTATTGACTGAGTCTGAACACACGGACTACAACTAATTCGTACATTACCGACAGTCTGCCGATACCTCACCGAAACTCGGCCGATCAAATGTCGGTCGTTAATTGCCTAACGATGCCTTATTTTTGAACTTCGATATAAAAGAAAACGTCGAGTTTTATTAAGTTTCTAAAATGAGGTGAATTATCGACTTGCTAGAACAGATTAGCTCGCCGATAGTTCACCGATAGTCGACCGACAGCTCGCCGATAGTTCACCGGTACTTTACCGATAGATCATCGACACTGTCGGCCGAGTCATGAAGAAACTTCAAGGATTTAAGGGCTAATAGCTCACCTTAAGTTAAGTTCTTCAGGAAGAGATGCCTCTGATCGAGAAATATTCCAATTCATGACTGGTCCAGAATTCTTTAGCTGCACCAAATACAACTGCTCAGCCAAATAATGTTGGCCAGTGTTCTTTCTATGCCTAAAATAAATGGAGAAAAACATGCTCATCAAAGGCATGCTTGACTGAAACCTCTATAACAAAATAACCCCCTCAAATTTGCTATCCTTTCCTCTCTTCCAAATTTGTATAACCCAAAAAAATAATACAGATGAAGTAAAATGATACAAAGAACAAAAGGTAACACGAATATGACGACCCAAGAATTAAAACAGAGGCCTGTTTTTTTTTTTTTTTAATGTATTAGTATTTCAATTATCTTTATATTCCCAGAAATTCTTACAAAAGTGTTTAAAAGTGAAATTATTTTAAACTCATCTTATACCATTCTGACCAGAAATTCGATTCAAACTACAGTATAATCATGAAAATAGTTTTTCATTAATGCCATTCTTATCTTTGTATTCATTACTTTGTATACAAGGGCCTACATACAGCCCACCCAAATGTACAAAGAAAAAAAAGAAAAAAAAAAAAACAGACAATGTTGGAAACAGAAATGTTTTTCATTCCTTCCAGCTACAACTAAATTGAAGTTAGGCTACCAGCAATTTAATAATCACTTAGAAGTACATGCATTTCAGTGTACATATGCAAGATTCAAGAGTGAAAGGGTCAGCTACACAAAGAAGGCACACAAAAACACCATTACATGAAAGTGTATCAGACCTCAATAAGGCTAAATTACATAAAAAAAAACACAACTGCTGCATTTACACCTACACTACATAGGTTTTCTCCTCTTAAAACATTCATTTACATCACATAGCCTCATCTCTTTGAATTTATACATGTACATTGTACCAGTCTAAGGCACTTGTGAGGAGATCCTTTAAAAAATCAAACAAAAATGAAATTTTTTGGCAAGGGTCAAAAATTCAAATTGTCTCAATTTTTGAACACGAGTAGCCCCTAATATGGCAAGAAACGCTGTGAAGTTTTTTCTCTCAAATATGTTTTTATTTTCAAGAAAAATGAATTTTCACTGTCATCACCTAAAATCAATGGATCGGGTTCATAACAAGTTAAAATTGAATACTTTTGTTCACTTCGCATTTCATAGATATTGCATTTAGAGCAATTTAACCAGTGTATGCTTTTTTATAGACTCTTCCAATTCTGTAAAATATGTATGTACATTTCCAAAGGAACAAGCTTTGAAATAATGCAAAGTTTACTTTGGGCAAATGTTTTCTCATGAAGCAGGAAACTCTTTAAAACAGACATGAAATCATGTTAACTACTGATTCCTGCCTTTGGAATGACTCAAGATCAAACAGGAGAACTCTTTCAGATACAAATAACAGTTATACCCAATTGGACAAACATTGCAGTAGTTGAAGAGTAGTTGCACTCTGGCAGAGAAAATCAACGAGGGTAGTAATTAAGGCAAAATCAGAGTTAAATGGATATTTAGACTTATTATATCTCTCTATATAATTGTGCTTATTTTTACAAATGACATCAAGTGACCATACACCTGGTAAGGGTAATGCAATTATGCTAATTAGGTCATACAAGCCCTCAGTTGGTTCACTTACTCCTTAAAAACCTCTCAATAAAAACTTTGTTTGTTTTTACCAAAAGCTAGTTAAAAGGCAGGGGTCAAAACATAGAAAGTTACACAATGGACAGAAACTAAACCAGTAAAGTCTTTATGATATAACATTACTCACACTGATGCACAATCATACTAGACAGAACAATAGCAGAATATCTTTGCAAAAACAAAATTGAAATGGTAAAAGACATCATCGTTCAACAAAATAAGATGTTCTCCTGTTCAATCCAAAGTTATTTTGAAAACGGGAATTCTCCTTAACTTTTTGGTCACACAATCAACATATTGCATTATTATTTCAACAAAAAGAAATTACTTCAACTGTTTTGTGATATGGGTCAGCAGTCAAGCAAGATGGCTGGAAATTCTGAAGGTCTTAGTAAGAGGCTAAAAGTTGCATTTTATCATTTTTGGTTAATCTTTGAACTTCTTTAGTTATTACATGTCAGTGTGTAAGAGTTAATATGTCTGACAAGAGTGGGAAACAAAAAAATTCTACTGGCACAACACATGACTTCCAAGCAATTGTCAGGGAATTGCTTGTAACATTGAGTGAAGGTCAAGATAGGATTCTTCATGATACAGCCACCTTGAAAGTAATAGTCCAACTTAATGAGGCCTCCTTGAACAACATCTCATCAAGACTTAATCATTCAAAATCAAGCTCTACAAATTGGAGTGATGACTCCTGTCCATCTAGTGTCATTCACATGAATGTAACTTGAGATTCCATAATATCCTGAAGGCTCCTAGGGAGGACTGCTATCAGAAAATCAGAGCTATTATAGCTAACCTTAATTTGGAACAGCAGATAGAAAGTGCACATTGCACAGGCTCAAGCATTGCTGACAAGCCAAGGGTGATAATTTGTATATTTATTTACCATCCTGAAAGATTCGAAGTGCTTCAGAAGAAACATGACCTTTAGAACAATGTCTGGATAACAGAGGATTTCATTTGGAAAGATGGAAAGAAAAAGAAGTTCAAAGATATAATGAAAGAAGCATATGAAAGTGGAAAGAAGCCACATTTTTGTCAAGAGCAATTGTATATGGACAGAGCTTTGCTCAAAAACTCAAAGAAGTCTTGATTATTGTTAGGTTAGTTAGTAACAATAGAGAAATGTGCAAGATTGAAGAATGGGCAAATGTATATAGACAGAGCTTTGTTCAAAAACTCAAAAGATGTCTTGATTATTGTCAGGTTAGTTAGTAACTACAGAGATATACACAAGATTGAAGAATGTTTTAAATCTGCTGAATTATTAATAACTCAAATAAACCAGATCTAAATCTCCAATCCTTCAATGATCATGGTATATTTACAATAGAAGAGATAAACAAGCTCTCCAAAGTAGTTAAACCGTATCTTTTAGTGTTACAACTGAGTATTAGAAGTTTATGTGCACATTTTCATGAACTATGTTATCTTCTGGATTCCACTCCCCTCAAATTTAATTTAATTGCTTGCTCAGAAACATGGATAACTCCTCTAATTGATCTGAATCAATTTCAAATATCAGGATACATGATAACAGACAATTGCATTTCTTCAATAGGCAGCAGAATTGCTTCATTTCTTAAGAAAGATGTTGACTACTGTCCAAGAGAGAATCTAAGAATCGATGGAATTGAGAACATTTGGGTGGATGTGCAACACTTGATAATAGGCATAACATACAATCCACCTAGTAGGTCCCAAAGACAATTTGTTGCAAGTTTTGCACACCATCTATTTGCCTAAGCCCAAGTGTTTGATATTAGGTGATTTTAACATTAACATGCTTTCTAGGGGTGCTATACCAAAAGAACACCTATATCTGATCCAATCAGAGGGTTTTAATCCCTTGGTATTCAAAGCAGTGTGCATAACAGTGACAAATATTAGTTGCTTAGATCATATTTATTTGAATTTTGTGACTTTATGTACAAGTAGAAGTATTGCAGCAGAAATTGCTGATCACTTGCCTGTCCTTTGCCTTGAGTACGATTCAAATTGTAGCACCATTCCTGCTACAATTGAAGTTGGAGATTTTAAAAAATCTGATAAGATTACTTTTCAAAATGCACTGAGGAACCCAAATTGGCTGCCCATATATGATAGCAGTGATGCAAATGAAAGTTTGTTGAGATTCCTTCAAATTTTTAATGAAATTAGCAATGGACATGCACCTTTGAAAATAATCAAAATTAAAAACAAGTCAAATATATACTGGGTAACTGGAGATTTGAGAAAACCAATTAAAATTTGTGATCAGTTGTACAAAAAATGGCTGACAACCCGTAACTCCTATTATCATGATAAATACAAACTTTACTGCTACAAAATAGTTGCCATGAACAAAATTTATCATGCACTATGCTATGATAATATACTTAAAGATTCTACAAGCTCTAAGAAAATGTGGAATAACATTAATGTGATTATAAACAAAGAAGCCATCTTCTAACATTGACAAATTGAAAGTAAACAACAAAAACTTTGAACAACCGTTCTCAATATCAAATGCAATCAACAAGTACTTCTGTATTGTGTTCCAGCCACACTTGCATCTAAACTGCCCAAATCAAATACGTGTTCCTCTTCTTACATGCACAGGAAAAAAGAATTATTTCACTTTATTAGAGTAATTGAGGTGGAGGTCTTCTTATTATTAGAAAGTATCGATACTGAGAAATCATTTGGTCTTGACAAAGTTCAGTCTTTGCCATTATCTTCTGCTGCAACAATAATTTGTAGTCCATTGACTTAAGTCATTAGTTTATCCTTTAAACAAGGCATATTTCCAAACTGTTTAAAAATTGCCAAAGTTATTCCAATTTTTAAACAATGCTCTCACTCCTTATGTAACAGCTAGTGCCCATATCAGTATTTTTCAGCTTTAGTAAAATTTTTGAAAGATGCATTCTTAATCGATTCATATTTCATTTAACAAAAGAAAATATTCTTGCACTGAACCAGTTTGGCTCAAGAGCTGGAAAAACTACAACCAACTGCTTGGTTGACCAAGTAGATGATGGAACTAAAGCTATCAATGAAAGTGGCTATGTTGTATCTACATTTCTGGAAGCTTTTGACACCATTAACCATTCCATTTCACTTTTCAAACTTGACCAATATGGTATTTGTGCCGGTGAAAACCAATGGTTCAAGTCTTACATAAGCAAACGGAAACAAAAGGTGTTCATTAATGGTGTTGAGTCTAATTTAACGTATCGAATTCAGGAGTACCACAAAGGTCAATATTAGGGCTATTCCCCTTTTAGTTTATATAAACTATATGGTCACAGACTAATTACTTTATTGTATGACTTTTTGCACATAACACATCTTTAAGAACAGCTGGTAGAGATTTAGATGCTTTGATCCAACAAATAAATTCCAAACTACCACCAATCTACAAATGGCTACTCTCAAATAAGTTACCCTGAATTTAAGTAAGATAAAATACCTAGTTTTC